CATCATTGACCGCTGATTGCAGAAAACGCAAGATTATGGTATTTGAGAATGGAAACATCTCCATACCTCACAACTCTGGAAGTAAAGGGGCGAAAGCGGGTGCATTCTTGATCGGTATAGGCTGAAAGGGAAGGCAGACAAGCTCTGCGATGTAGCACGGAGTACCGATCAAACGACATACGACAACGCTTGACAAGACACTTTATTGATGCACCATAATGGACCTAGGACATGAGCTCCCTAGTGCGATCACTTAAACGATACAGGAAATTGGTTATTTGAGCGGGCCTAAGGAGGCGAGAGGATCATGGTGCTCCAGTTGCAGGTCTTCCCGTCGGAGGAAAGTGAATACCCGGAAATGGTGACGTACCCGTTTCCGTCTGAGTGAGAAGTCGCACCGGAGCAAAGGGCGCTAACGCCATCAGTAGTCGCCGCCGTGATCGAGATATCGGTGAAGGTAACGTCGAAGTTCCAGTCACCGGTCTGCTGGCCGTATAGCTCGGACTCGATGACGAAGAAGTTTGCACGCGAGTCGCATGCACAGCCTGGAACATTGAAGTACTCTGTTCTCTAGTTCAACACAAAAGGGCAGGATACTCTTTGGGATACATACCGGAAGCCGTGATGGTTTGGGTGACAAAATTGCCAGATCCACCACCACTGACAACATACGCGGTCTGGGTCCATTGTCCGCAAGAAAAGTTGACCGTACTGGTTATCCGTGCTCCCTCGTCCGCCCAAATTCCCTGGCTGATGGCGGACTGTGGAAAGATCAGCTATTCTCCCTGCATACGCCGTTGCTGAATGACCTACCTGATCATCGTTGAGACCGTCAGCGGGGACAGTCCAAAGTACCATCTTAAAAGAGTGTCAGTAGTCGTCAGCTAATATAAACAACACCGACAATTCGATGGACTACTTGCCTGATAGGTATGAGGGAACGAGGCGTTTGGGTTGACCTCGCCGTTGGAAGGACTTTGGCCCCACTGCAATACTGGCTGGACAACTCCTCCACCCTCCGGTTGAAGCCCTGCCCAGAGGAACCAAGGCCCAGTGGTCACGGCCGAGCTTGGGCCAGGAGGAACGGTGATACTGTAACTGGATGAGACGCACTCAATGCATGATTAAATGCCGTCTCACGTGTAGGTCAGTGAGGTCCAGACATTGCCGTCGGGAAGAATCAATCCCAGGCTGATGGCGAGGGCGGGCGTACAGGCCAGAGCGAGGAGAGCAAGGCAAGAGAGCATTGTGAGAACCGCTTGAGCAGGGAGAGCGAGCGAAAGTCGGTTGGATCTTTCCTAGCACAAGCAGCGAGGTATTTATGTGTTCCAGTACATCAGTGAGGATTGGGAAGCAAGTACCACCGGCCATTGCTGATGAGATCCTTTGAATGGGTCCATCAATATTAATGTGCTCGCAAACAAGGCCGAAAAAGATATTCTCAGCCTCGGATAGTACAGTACAGTGCTTGATGTTGTACCACGCGGAGTAATTCATTGTTGCTCGTGTAATGTCAAGCCGAACACAAGGTTTGTTTTGAACACGAGTTTTTTTTGAAATATCTCTGTCAGGCCAGTTCAGTCGTTTATATAGTAAGGATTGTTAAAAAGTCGCTTACTTCTAGAGCGTACACTGCGCCATATTGTGATCGACTAAGCAGTCGTTGAGTACAGTCCTGTTATCTGGCAGCTATTCATGTGTGATGATGGGGAATACAAAGGTGTTAATCCGCACTTTGCGCACGTGACACGGAGGCTATGAGGTAGATGAAGCGCCTGCGTGTCCCTCTTCACACTCTCTCATTGACCATCGTCTTGCGCCAGGGGAAACGTTGATTGGGGAGTCTATTACCTTACTACTCTATACTGGTATAACTGTATAGACATTCCCGTCGGTTTCTATACTCGTTCCTGCCTCCTTAATAACCTCTGGGCTTCACACATGGATTGGCCGAGAAAACACTGACATGGAAACAACAAGCCTATCCATCTGTGAATGTTGGAAGACATGCTTTCGGCGAGAAGCACATGACTTCATTGGATCATGGCCGATTTCCAGGGCCGTGCTCAGTCACTTTCCTAGCATCGTCACCATCAGGTGGAGCCTCTACAGCATATGGTATTCATCACCAGTCGGTGGAAATGAAACGATCATGAACAAAAGCTGAATGCCGACTAACATCTATAACTAATCAATTGCCAAACTTCTTGCTGTTGAACAGACTCGGTCCTTCTGCAAGCACATCCGCTCCACGACCACCACCATTTTCTTCAACTCATCTTCCTGCGCATCCTTCACCTCTGAACCATCCTCGTCCACTGGAAGAGGCGAAATGTAGTTTTCCCGACCAGAAGGAGGTACAAATAGAATGAACAGACAGATTGCTTCTTTTCGAATTCTCCGGGATTTTCCGTTTCCTGCGCGTATCAAATGTGGGCATGTCGGCAGCAGGGAAGTATCACCAACAGATCTGCCGCCGGGTTGGCGCGTGTGAGTTGTATGAACCCTTGGTCCAGTGTTGTCTGATGAGTAGCACATAGTCACCCATACAAACCTGTAGGAGACTCCCGGAACGGAAGCATGTGCGGTCATCCAATCTCTATTAATATTGGTGACATCCCTAGTCAGTGCCGTACTTGCTGACTCATCGCGTCTATTTTAGATAGCAACACATCCCCCTGTAAACGGGAGACTGATTCCCCATTGACCACCTCTCAATCCCTCTTTAGAGATCACCATTACTAGTCTATCACACACTGTCAGAACATACTATTGCACATATACCAATATATCGTCGATTGATACCCGGTAGTCGGCTAACTCGTGGGCATTTCTCAAGAGTGTCTTATTACCTATCTACTGTATATACCGGACATGGGAGATTCACCGATCATGTGCCGAACTTCTTCCTGTTGAATGCGCCGGGTCCATCGGCAAGCAAGTCCGTTACAGGTCGTTCCACAACCACCATCATTTCCTTCATCTCGTCTTCCTCAGCTTCCTTCATTAGACCATCCTCGTCCACCTCCATAGCATCCTCCGCTCTACTCTTAGTCCCCCCGACAAAATCGACAAGACAAATATACTTGTAGCGCGTCTCCACTCGGAGGGGCGGTATCTCCTCCGCCGACTGGAGAGCCAAGTTGAACGCATCCGGATTCCCAGTGCGTTTCCGCTTCCTGTGCGTACTCGGTTCGTCCACAGTGGAAGAACCCTCGGCCATCAGATCTGCTCTGCAGACCCAGCTACTCCCCCAAATGAATACTTCGCCTTCTCCCTCCGGCTTGCTGGGCGTTGACAGCCCAAGGATGGGGGCGTGCCGCATTTAGAGGCGGGCGGAGAGCGCAGCACATGAGCGTTTGGTCGCCTCGTCTAGTCGCCGGTATTGCAGGGAGTAGGAGTGAAGTGTGTTGTTAGCGAGGACGATGACAAGCAGCGCTGGGGAGGTGGGGAGGAAGGTGAGTGCTGTCGCAGATGTTGATCCGCCCTGTTACGTCCAGAGAGGCGCAATAGTGCCCGTCTGAACTGACGACAATTTCGGATATCCATGATTCGGCATTTGCCGATTTTGGTGGTGTGAGCCTTGCGACTACGCTCAAGTCTGCCACATCCAGGAAGAGGATCGTCGACCCCGGCTGGCAAGACGGCGTAGTAGCAACAAGGAGGTGCGATGCAGAGGGTGTAAACGCAAGCGCCGACGCTCCCAGCGTTCCTTCGGAATCGGCAAGCTGCTCAACGACAGTGGGTATGAAGCTCTTGACGCGTTTTGGGCGTATGTCTTCCTTCTGTTTGCTGATGAGCTGATGCCATTAAAAGACGAAGGGACGTACCTCGCCCAGGAGTTGCCAGAGCTTAACCTCTCCACCATCGCTCACCGCCAACCACGCCGGTTGTGAATCCCCAGGCTCGCCAACTGCTATACACACCAAATTCCCCTTTCCAGCAAGCTCCATCTCCAACACTTTCTCCCACCCGCCCTCCTCCCCCTCTGATACAGTCTTGAGGTACCAGATCCCCACCGCTTGTTCACGCCTGCACACCACCCACCCTCTCTTCCTGAGCACGCTCATCTCCCCTCGCCTGGTATACGGCAACCGTCTATGCCAGCTCTCAGCCCAAGTAGCAGCTTTGCTCGTCTTGAGCAGATTGGCAACTGCACCCGCCCCATGCGCGTCTGTCTTCTGCACCGGCGCAGCGGGGGTAAGCACGGGTGCTAAGTCCAAGCCCCCACTGACGAGCACAGGGCAGATGAGCGTCACAGTTCCCTTGCGGTGGGCGAGCATGGGCGGGAAGAGTGCATGGCGGGGTGGCGAGGTTGGTGAGCCGTAGAGAATGGGAACGGAGGTATGTGGGTCGCGTAGGTCGTAGATGATGTTATGCCACACGTCGAAACGTTGAATTGCCACCACAACGCACGTTAGACATATATGCCCCTTCTTTTTGTGGATGAGCCGGCGTCTGTGGATAAGGACAGACGAATACGCACCTCGCTAGCAGGTTCCCAAGACGTGACCCCTCCGCCATCGCTCACAGTCAAGGAAGCCAGTGCAGCAACACCCCACTCCCGTTCCAGCTACATTCCAAGTACCTTCCCACGGCCAATCACACCCAATGCTATGTACCGCATGGAATGGAAAGTGCCGACAATGCAATCAAGCTCGATTCCAGGGTGACAAGTGGTGGCTGCCGTATCTCCATTGGCCGACAACATCATTTCATTGGTAAGGCCGATCGTTCGTAGAGAGAACACGTTAATTCTTCATGAAGTAGCTGCTTTTCGGACGCGAA